ATGAGTCCCTGAGCCCCTCTCGGCTACTGAGATCCTTCGCCCATTAGTAATCCCCAGTAGGAGAAGTGAATGTAGCATTCTTTATTGACATTTTCCAGGAGGGTGGGATGAGTCTAATGGGAGTAACTCCTGTTTGCAGCCGCCGCCCTACGCAGCTGCCGCCTTAGTGGATCCGCATTCTTTCAGGATTATTGTAAAAGTTATAGTAAGGCTGGGGGTGCCTTTATGGGGTACCGGGGTATGGCAATAAGGCCCATGGCAGAGAAACTGAGTGCAGGCCAGTACAGTAACACAATGAAGGTGAGGTCCAGAACTCGTAAAACTGTTGACCTTGCAAACAGTTCTCCTCAGCCGAGTCCTTGCTCAAGGCCTGAGGGGCAGTTCTTTCATACTCAGCTTGTGTTAACTGCATGGTCCCAGCAGGAGATGCAGAGGGAGCAGGGAGGCACCTCCTCTGGACCAGATGCAACAGGGATTACTCTAAGCATTTCTATCTTAGTAGTTCTCCTGAAGGTCCCTGCCTGGGAGTACCTCTATGGTCTGGATGAGGCTGCCAAGACTCAGGGAGATCCCCCAGCTAGCAAGTAGCAGAGCAGAAATCAGGATCTAGAGGCTTCTCAGCCATGCTCTTTCCACTGCTCCGGGTGAGATGGAGGTAAGAAAGGGGAAAAGGCAGATGGTGGCATCTGGAAAAAGTCAAAGCAAAAGACTTCCCAGCATACCAGGTGGCTGAGGAGAAACAGGGAAATGCCAAAGCCCAACGAGCTGTAAAGCAGCAGCTCCAGGGTTTCTGCAAAGAAGCCTTGTGGGAAAACAGGGTAATGGTTTACAAGTTATGATGGCACCTGTGAGGCTGTTCCTTTGGGCAGAAGGGTCCTCAGACGCCATCCTGCTTGCTCGTTATGGACTTGGGGCCAGGCCACCTGGGAGAGAATTCCGCCCCCTTCACTTCTCAGCTGCGTGACTTTGGGCTTCTCTCTGGACCTGTTTTCCCATCTCACGGGGGTCTTGGACCCTCAGTGTTTCATGGCTCCTGGAGGTTCATGGGCCCCTTGCCAACTGCCTCACTCACACACTCTTCAACCCACGTTCATCCTCTTTC